CGAATACACGCTATGCATAATGAAAATTTGCTTGAGAAGGCTGGTAACAAGTTTACACGAAAGCGAGGTCGGTCGGGCCACTGTGTGTTTCTTCGGATACTTTTACCTGGCAAGTAACACATAATGAGCTCGGTTTCAAACAATTTAAAGCTCTCAGAAGCAGATATTCCTGGTTCATCATTAAGTGGGAGAGCTCCAGCTAATTTAAAAGTTCAAGACTTAAAATTCTGGCTAAAATGCAGAGGAGATCCCGCCAAAGGTCTAAAGACGAAAGCCCAACTTGTTAAAAGGTGAGACGACAACAATTGATTCTACTTTTAAAGTATTAAGAAGCTCATAGATATTATTGTCCATTAAAGAAAGAAAACTCATAAAATGTTCTAATTGATCCAAAGAGATATTGAATTCAGAATGTAAAGTTATAGATCGCTCAGACTCGATCGTCTTTGATTGAAAGTACGGTTCCGCACCTTAATTAACTGTTGGATACGAACCAGGATACGTGTATGACACTTTTATCGTTTTATATTGATCATTTATAATTAAGTAGTATTAGATATTATTATAGTTAACAGTCCTGTCACACAGATAGGCTACGAATTCTCGCCCTATCTTGCTTAGCTCACTAGCATCCAAACGTGTATACTGCATAATAATAATGATATAGCCCTATCCAATGATAGATCTAGGCGCTTAACAAAGTGAGAGGAAATATAAAATTAAAGTTAATCAAGTAAATAAACTTAAAATTGAATTAAAAAACTCATTAATAATTCATGAGCTGATTAGCCTATCACACGAGGCAAATCGATCACGTGTATGAACCTTTATAGCCGGTATAGAATGATCCTTCTGAAAACCTGGAGAGGATTTTGATTTCGGTCTCGGGGGAAATCGGGGTACAATTCATAAACAACGAAATCATCACTGAATTATTAATGAAAATATGATTACTGTGATCGTTATATAAAGATCACGTTGATTATAATACCAAATTATTCCCCAAAAGGCAGCATACAAAAACATTAGCCGCAGTAAACAACAAAGTTTATTTTCCTGATAAATTCTTGTTAGAACAGAAATTCGTTCTTTAACAATTTCCCATATCATTGTTCACAAAATTGATTGTGCAGTTTTGGAAGACACAACTACCCAATGTTGTCTGATATGACTTAACTAGTTTCAGTAACATTCGGAATGGGCATTTGACTTTTTCCCCTCTGTATGTAATTAACTTTTAATGCATTCAAATCACGTTTAGAAAAATCCCTAGAGAGGCACGGGTTTTTGAAGCTGTTTGAAAAACTCGTAGCACGTGTTTTATCGGGTCTAAAAACACTCGGCTACGTCTCGAGTTTCTAAACCTGATAAAACACTGCTGCTCGTTTTTTTAAATAGTACGTAAAAACTTATAAAGTCTATTTCCTAATGGCGAAAGTAGAAGTTCTCAAAGAGGTAGGTTTTAAGTTTATGCTTAAAAAGATTTAAGTTCTCGCATGAGCGTATGTTGTTGGGTAATTTGCTTCAGACTGTTCAGGGGCTGAAACGGAGACTGCTCTAGAATCATAGGTCTTAAGGTTAAAACAAACAGGATTCAGATTGAGCGTAGATGATGAACGAAGTGATCTAGAAGGTGAGTAGCGAGTGATAAGGTCTTGAATGGGGCTTGCTGATGCAGCGCTTTAAAAGTAAGTAGTAGAATCTTGAATTTAGTAATTCGTTCAAAGCCAGTGAAGATCGAGGATGGTAGTGAACCGTACCGGTAATCAGTCTCGGGCAGCTGCATTGAGTACTGATTGAAGCTTTTTGATGATGTATTTAGGAACATTATATAATAGAGAATTGCAGTGATCGAGCTTGGAAGTTTTTACTCTTCGCTGGTATCGATATTTTTCGATCCGACCTCGGTATCGCTGGTATCGAATATTTGGTATCGGTGTCGGCCCATCCTTAATTTTAGGTCAAATTTTTGAAAACTAAGACCCCTGTTAGTTTTCGTAATTACGAAAACGGAGGCCCCCACCAAACCAGTCTGTAAAATGTGTACAAAGTCGAATTACGACCGTTCAAAGACTATAATCGGTAAAACAACCAAAAACTACAATCGTACGCGCTTCTTTTAACAATTTGCAGACATATATTTTTAGCATTGTGGCTTTATAAAGACGATGAAAGCCATACACTACCTAAGTATAATTGTACACAGAAAATATGCCTTGCCCCAATTGATCTTTAATTCTGTTGTTTATCCTTTAAATAATAAAATTGGCTTTCCATTGGAGATGGATGTTTTTCTACGTGTCTCCGTGATCGAGATTGCGTTACCTGTGACAGTGCTGAATAACTTATGCACACGCGCGAGATTTGAGCGGATAGCACGTGGACATTAAATTAAGAGCCCACAGAAAGTTCCTATTCGATAATAAATCCGGTTAGATTTCCCGTGTTACTGTAACATCACGAAGCGAAGAAATGCGACAAAAAAGGCGGAGAAAAAACGTGATGTCTTCACAAATTGGTTTCACATCATGGGGTGTAATCCAGCTGTCAAGGAAACCCTCCTGTCAAGTCCAAGCTCAGACAATAAAATCGTTCCCTGGCAGAATCGGTCACATTTACTGACTTCTACGTTTTTCCGACGGATAATATCGGCAAGCAGCTACCCTAGTTCTACTTCACAGGTTTCGTAAGTTTTTACGCAAGAAGTGATCGGCAGCGGCCAGGACAAATTGGAAACAAACCTTGGGGAGTCGAAAGGAATACCTGGTCGCGATTTCCGGTGTCGGTAATTAACTCCTTTTTTCGGAAACAGCTAAAATCGATGTTAGCACTTTCCCATATTGCAAGTAAAGCTGTGTCTTTGCTCGATCGATTGATCAAATATGAGTTTTCTGTGGATTCTTAATTTAATGTCCATGGTCGTAATTCGACCCCTAAATTTACCGTTAAATTTGACCTAAAACTCGGTGGAAAGGATCGGACAGGGGATAATTTTACAGATTAGACCTGTTTTGGTTACAATTTGACTTTATATTTCGACGGACTCGATTTTAGGGGGTCTTCGTTTTCGAGGGTCTTAGTTTTCGTAACACCCTTTCTCCTTTGTCCCCCTGGCCATTCTCCACCACGAGCACCTCTCGCGCGTTTCCCCCGTTTATAGCTAAGAGTGGAGATAAGCTTCAAATGAGTCGCTTCACAAGTAAAGCAGTTTGAGAAAGTAGCCATCCCCTATCTGTCAAAGATGAAATACGGTATATATCACTTACACTGTTTAAAGTACCGGGCTGATACTCCATCAGCAACGTCTAATATTATTCCACCAGAGAAATAAAGAGCAACAGTTAGAAATGGCCTTTCCGTCATGTTGTAAAAAGACGCTAGATTGAGAATAATCCGCACATAATCTGCGAAATGAGTAAAGAAATACAGAAGTAAACGAACAATGAAAAATGACTGACGTCTTTTTACTTTCTTCTCGTGGTGCACGCAAAGATGATAACACATCATTTCTCTTAAGAAAAATCGGTCACGCTTGGCGGCCTATCAGCCAGTCACATTTCCCCAGCACGAAGTGACCCTACCTGTTAGATTATATATATCAACAGCTCTGATTTGAATATCAGAGACCTTCTCGATATAACACAAAGTTATTATGACTTATTTACAAGAGGATGCAAAGCAGTTATCGGGAAGAATTGTTACGTGAATCAGATCAAAGGAGGTCCAAGTTACCCGAAGTCTGTTATTCGTTATTCGTTACTCACGGAACTCAACTTGTAAAGGTTAAAAGGTCTGGCTGGATAAACAAGTTTAACTTGACACTCCCTCAAGAAATCGAGCGTATCCTGACGAATTATCGAAGACATTTATACCCTGCTAGCTAAGTTCTCACTCACCAATCAAATTAGGTATATAGAAGAAAACTCTCTCCATGTCTGATGACCAGTCGACACCGCCAGCGGTTGATGAGAACGTTTCGTTTCGTAGCTTTTATCGAAGACGACACTCGTTTCACACGAAAAATAAAT